GGAGAATGTCAGGGCAATAGCCCTGAACCCCAAGTCACATCTAAACTAGATAGATATAGTCATGTGGACAAGCAGGAACCTCCGGGTAACCGCTTACACACCACCGTAAAATACACCATCTTGTATCACTTATGGCCTTGTGTGCTGAGCAACCCTAAGACCTCACATCCTGCCTCTGAGTGGCAAGGTTCTCATAGGCATTTCTTGGCACCTCTGAGTAATCAGGTCATCTCTATTTGGATGGCCTGAGTGAGGAGCTTGTCTCGCTCTCTCATTTCCCTTTCATGAGGGATTCTGTCTCATCCAACTCCTTTCGGAGTTGGCTTGTGTTGTCCACTATCACCGGGGGTGATAGCTTGCTCTCAGCTTGGGTTGGGCCGAGAATTTGTTGGCTTTGGCCATCTCGAAAAGCATGTGGACACTTCCCTGTAGGGTGGCTTGCCCATAGGGTGTCATGGTACTTGGCTGTCAGAGACCAGATTCGAGACAAGGGAGAGTCTCCATGGCGGAGGGCTTTGGCCTCAGCGACTTATGCCAAGAGCGCTGTGCCTAGTGACACGTCCGTGCCCTAACTTACTGACTGGCAATCAGAACTGAAGGGGGGTAACTCTAGTTGATTTTATTACTGGAGTGTAACGTATGTACAAGTTGGATATATATATGGTTACAGCGAAGACAGGTCCACAAATGGCGGAGCTGAACGGAGTGGAGCTAACGGGGTTAAACATTAGCCGACTGAATGTTACTGACGAGTCGGGTCGTGGGGTTAGCGGAAAGGCAGGTGATAACCCAGAAATGGAAAGGAGGGATAGGCCTGAAGGTGGGCTCTGCAGGGCAGGCGAGTGTATTGCCCAGCGGAGGCGGGAGTGCGCTAGCGGACGTTGGAGTTGTCCGGAAGTCTTCGGGGCTCCGTACTTAGGGAGGCATAGGTAATAAATTGAAAGGAGGGGGTGGTGACCATCGAGGGGTACCGAGAGGATTGTGGAATACGGGAGCTCCAAGGTTAGTGAGGAAGGAGTGGAGTTAGACCGGAGGGATCGGAGGTCAATGGCCAGGGATGGATATGACATTGGCGGCCTGCTGCCTCTGGTAGTGGTCCCCTTTTGGGGGTCTGTCATTGGCTGCCTACCGTCTTCCCATCTCCCCTCGACATGGGTTTGCCCTCCTGAGGGCAGGCCCTTATGCAACCTGGACAGGGTTGCCTGCCCATGGGGTGGCAGGATAGTCGGTGCCCCGCCCCTTGGTGCGCTAGTCCCCATATGGGGTTGCACCTCCTGAGGCCCGGAACCATATCCCCTCCCCCTGACCTGGGAGGCCCCCATCATAATGGGTTTGGCAGCGAGGTCTGCCAGTGCACGTGCCTCTTCAAGCTCGTGTTTTAACAACTCGATCTCCCTCTTCCGGAGGTCGACTTCCCTCTCTGTGTCTTTCAGAGAGGCAAAGATGCCGAAGCATCTCTGCATGCCCTATTGTATTCATGCCTCCAATGGGCACAATTATCGCAGGCATCATCTGACACCCTTGAGTTGTCAGACCGTGCCCGTTTGTACGGCCTGGACAAGGAGCCGCTGTCGCTCCCTCATCTCCCTCCTACGAGGGACTTTATCTCTTTCAACTCCTGACAAAGTTGACCTGTCTGGGCAGCTACCGCTGATGCAATAGCTGATTCCCAGCCTATATTTGGCTGGGTTGTCGGATCTGGGCCAAATTGGCCGATCCAGGGAAGTTCCCTGGGGAGTATGCCTGGGGCTGCAGCAGCAATTGCTGCCCCTGGAAGGGCGCTTGTTGTGCCATCGGTGCAGTTTGTACTGCATATGGTTTTACACGTGAGCCTGGGGTTCACATGGTCTAGGTGAGTTACTCGCCTAGCCCATGGTGTGGCTGTCCAGGCGAGTTGCTCACCCAGAATCTTCCCATGCTCTTGGTTGTGGGTGATCGCCCTTCAGCTTCACTTTTTCCACCTCTGTTTTTGGGGGCATAGTGATGCCGAGAGTTCCGTATCTTCTTAGATCGGGAGATTTTCCGGTTCCCTCACATTTTGTAATGTGAGGTACTCGTCCAGGCGGACAAGGTCATTACGATTTCCTAGGGGTTCCCATGTGGTGTCCCCTAGCTCCCATTTGGCCTTAAACCAGAGTTCGTCGTGAACCCATGTGTGGTTTAAGATTTCGCGAACTACTGCTTCGCAATTGGGGTCTTCCCCGAAAATATGTCTACTTCCCTATTTGGGAAGATTTCTTGGTCATTTGGCTCGTGGGGTGTGAGCCGAGATACATGGAATCTTGGGTGGACTCCACATTGTTCAAGTTGTGGTGGCAACTTGAGGATGTAGTTTGACGTCTCTGGAAATGTTTCCAGAGTTTCATAAGGCCCTATATACAGGGGCTTTGGTTTGCCTGCCCTCCCTTTGGGTAGGTTCAACTTATCCATGGATAAGTATGCAAGCTCGCCTTTTCTCAAAGGCAGGTCCAGGTGTCTTTTCTTATTTGCCTGGATTGTTTGAGCAGCACGATTGTGTATTGTCGTGACGTTGTAACGGGCCTATCACCTAGACTCGAGACAGAGAGAAGGGGGAGGGTGGTAGTGTGTGCGGGTGTGGTTCGTTGGGCCGGGTTTTGGTCCGTGGGTGCTACCGAGTCTGCAAAAACCTCAAACAAACACTCACCTACGTCTCTCTTGGACATCAAGGCTGAGGATTCTGATAAGAGGGGTCTTAGACGTTATCAACTAGCTCAATGGGGGCGTTAGGGTCGTGGATGGCATCTTTGCCACTTGGATGCAACTTCTGCTTGTCCCTTCACGGGTCTATTCAATACTAACTTGTTATGTACAAGTTGTTATCTAGTTTATATATGTTTGAAGTGAAATGAATGGACTGGGGGAATGTAAACGGGCCGTTAGGCAACCGTAAATGATGAATATCCAATTGGGAACAAAGAAACAATAAAAGAAATATGAATGAATGGGGAATATATCATAACGGGTCCGAAATGGGAAATGTAAAAGTTAACTCCGCAACGCTTCGCCACAGCGCCCGCCTATCCTCCCGTCAGCAACCTCCTCGTCTCCAGCTTTCCAACGAGCCCCTATTCGTCCCATTTGGTGCAGTAGTTCTTGAGATGTGGCCATTGACAGGTGCTGTCAAGACCACGTGAGAGTATACTCCGTGCTGAACTATCCGGGTATGGGATTGCCATTCTGGGAAATGCTCCGGGGGTGAAGAAGGGTGGTAGAGCACCACTATCGGGTGGAAAAACGGCTGGGTTGTGAGTGTGGGTATGGAGGTCTGGAGAGGGGGTGAAATTGGCGGCATGGTTGGGCATGGGAGTTTTGCTTGGGGTTGTCGGGAATGATGGGGAAAATAAGGAAAAATATGGAGTGAGTGTATGGCGTGTTGGATAGTGATATAATGAGTATCGGGAGCGTCAGCGGATATGTACTGCGTGTTGGTGACCAAATTCCGCAGAATCCGACTTTTTGCGGTACACGGAGTTGTCCCCACAACAATGTGTGCTGCCATTAGGTTTTCCTTTGCCTTTTGGGCGAAGTCATTCACTCCTGGGTAGTCTGCGGGTGGTGCTGTTAGGCACATCTTTGGCATGTGGCCATAGATTAATTCAAATGGGGCAAATCCTGTTGATGTGTTCGAGCTCGCATTGATTGCGAATTCTGCCATTGACAGCTTTGCTGCCCAGTCGCGTTGATCTGGTCTGACCATCGTGTGTAGTATCTGTACTACTTGTTGTCGTGAATTTTGAATCTCGATCTGATGCGATCGAGTGTGGTAATTGGTGAAGTCATACAACTTCGTGAAGAAACATGAATGCTAGTTCTAATGCATTCATGGTTGTTTTAATGGGATCAGGTGGACGTTGTTGTGTCTGCCTGTGGACAATTCCTTGGACGGAATCATATCCCAAGTCTGTTGGGATGTGGTTACTTCCCAGGTTTGGGTACTCCCCCCTAGAGTTTCCTCTAGGTTGTCACTCCCCCCTAGAGCTTCCTCTAGGTTATTTGGTCTCAAGAGTATCTCGAGTTCATAGGCATGATGCCTATGATGACTCCTTACAACTGGTCTTCTAATGCCAGTTTGATCTGTTTTCGTTTGTGGTCAGCTGGAGGTCTCAGGCTGGCACCGGAAGCATTCCCTTATCAAGGAATTGTATTAGGGATGTTTTCTCCCCTATTGGTATCCCTCGGATGTTTATCTGAGTTTTTCCCTGCCATTAATAAGTGGGGTTAAACCTGAGACCACACAGTTGCCCTTCCAATTCAACACAATGTTGAATGTCAGGTGACTTAAGCTGAGTTGCTTGGCTTTACCCGATGTTACTTGGTCGGGAGCCATGTAACAAGGCATGACAGGAATTTCTGTCACACACTGTGACACACTAAATGTCACGCTCTGCGATGCAATTCAACGTCACACACTTGCAACATGAAGAAGATGGAATAGAGAACCAAAGTCTGAGAAACCAATGCTGTAGGGGCATTAGGACTTTGGAAATTAGTACAAAAGTTGTATTGCTCAAAATGGAGCAAATTTACAATTAAAATGGATTTAAAATGAGTATCGCATAGGTTGGGCCGAGTTATTCAGCTTTATCCCTGTTTGCGAGTTCAAGGAGTTTGGTTCCTCGAGCAATTGCCTTCCAGATGGTATTTATCTGGGAGTTCCAGTTCCTCTGAGCTAGGACTGGGTTGTTTCTTTGGTGTTTCTACCAAAGCATCGGTGACTTTCTCATTCACCGTGTTTATGGCCTTCCCAAGGAAAGAGCCAGAGAGGAAGGAAAAAAAAACAAGGCAAGAAAAAAGAGGGCCTGGAGCACTTCCAGACACAATGGAGTCTCCTCAGTCTGAGGAGTTAAACTATAGCATATTACTATAGGTCGATGGTCAGGTAGACCTTCAAAAACCTCTCGGTATGAGAGGAAGGCTGCCAATAGTTGGTGGCAAGATTGCGTGGACTGGGTTGTCTGCACAAGTGGGAGTTAGGATCTCTACTTGATCTTATCTGCCAATTCTTGGTCCTCCTTCAGGTATGAGGAGGGCTGATTGGCCTTGTTGCCCAATCGTGCATGATGCAGCCCAGTATTTCTACTGGGGAGAGGGTGGATTGTGGCCACTAGCCAGCCGAGTATAAACTCCACCCAGAGCTTGTCTTCTTCTGGAGACTCCAGGGTGGTTTCTTCCAAAGGGTCCTCCTTCAGTGGGTCTCCCTCCGAGGTGTTTTTCTCGGGGGTGTTGTCTTCTGAGGGACTTTCCTCAGGGGGATCCCTCTTTGGTGTTGTCACCAAAGAGTTGGTAGTTCTTTTTTTGGTCTGGCTTATTGCCAGTTTTAGTGTATTTTTTTCGTCATTGTTTTCAATGATGTCGGATCTTGGGGCCATTATTATGGTCCCAACACTGATGTCCTTGCCCTTTCTTCTGGGCGAGTAGTGAGGTCCCTTGTTTGGGTCCTCTGGTTCGAAGTTGTTGGAGGTGTTCTCCACTTCGAAATCACCAGGGATATTCTCTGGTTCTTCTTCATCGGAGTCGTCTCCAACTTCACCTTCTGTTTTGTAATCGACTTCCCTGGCGATCCTGTGCCTTGGGTTTCTGTCTCCTACTAACTGGTGCTCAGGGCGGCTCTTTGTCCACTCTGGTATTCCGCAATTATTGCGTACTTGTACCAGACTTTGGTCGGTGTTCCCTGACTGCTTCAGGGAGGATTCGCCTTTCCATTTGGGTTTAGGGTCTTGCACATTGGCTCTTGCCTCTGCATGTTTCTCCTTTCCTGTCTGGTTGGGCTTTTCACGATTTGTGGTTGTGTCTGGCATAGCATTCTGGCCTGTAGGCTGGAGCTATCCTCAGCCTGTTTTTCATCTCGTCCATGCGAGATGTTGTTCTGAACATCTCCTCGAAAGAGGAGAATCCCATTTTGATTATTTCCTCCTTGCATTCAGGGAGGATGTTTTCCAGAAACCTAGCATTAAGCGATGGTTCTGGGTAGGACTGTCTGGGTCCTTTTCCTGCATTGTACTTTACATTGCAGTATTTTTCCGTCACCTTCAATGTGGCGGGCTCCTTGATATATGTCCTCATTAGAGTATCGAGAACTTCAAGAAATTTCCCCCCTTTATCTCTAAGGAGGGCTTCTTCACGGAGTTTTAGTCCGTGTGAGAGTGCAGGCTCTGCCAATCCACCAATGAGACAATCCAGATGGATTTCATCGTAGTGTGTGCCTCTATATCCTCATGATGTGAGGAATCCTAGCAGTGTGGTGTACCACTGCCAGAAAATTTCTGTATCGTTTTTGCCTGACCACTTCGTGTCAGGGAGTCGAGTAGGACCGTTATTTAACCAGTCCCACTTCACCCTGTCTATGTGCGGGGTGAAAGTTAGAAGTTTGGCCATCCATGTGGCCTTGTGGCACCATCTTTCGAGGTGCCAGTTGTCCTCCAGCAATGTTTTGCTGGAAGTTTTCCTTGTGAAGTTTTCACAAGGGTTTGTTTGGTTCTCTCCAGCATTACTGGAGGGGTTTTTCGGAAGGTTACTTCCACTTATCCTTTGCCTGGGTGAAGTGATCGAGGAGGGCCATTTATTGCCTAAGATGGGGCCTGGTGTTGATGGTTGCCCGCTCATTTGTGGGTTCTCCTTACTAGGCTCCTTCTGCCATGTTGCACTCCTACAGACTTTGGTGACCTCATCCGAAGTTGGTGACTTCGCTTTTTTTGGCAAAGGTTTTGTGTTCGGCCTTGGCAGCAGTGGCTTCCCCTGAGCCCCTGTGCTCTCTAAGCATCTGCCCTTGACCTTTTCTCCTATTATTTCTTGGGCCTTTAGCCTGAGAAGGAGTTCTTCATCACTTCCTGTCCTCCATTTGGATGGGACCTGGAAAAAGTCCAGAAGTTTCTTGGACAATCGACTTTGGGGAGCTTCCCCATCCTCCTGCACCTGGTCCCTTTGCTGTGTCCATGCTAGGTCCGAGGCCATCTGAGGACAGTCCAGAAGTGAGCTCAACCTGTGAGTCTGTGTCGATCTGGATGACATGGCCTTTATATCCATGTTGGAGTGTGTACACTCGTTCTCAGACAGAGCGCTGAGTGTCTCACAATGGTTGTGGGGTGGTGTCGGTGGTGTGGAAGTTTTTTCCACATTTCCTCCACTCAGGACTGGCTCCCTGCACAAGCAGGGGTCGTCCCATGAGGGTTTTTGATGATTCCCAGTCTTATAGACTGGGGTTTGAACCGGCTCACGCCTAGGCGGCGAGCTGGGTGTCTCACTATAGTTGCAAGACGGTAACGACGATGTGGAGGTTTTTTCCACATTTTTTGCAATCAAAGATGGCTCCCTGTGCAAGCAGGAGTTGTTGTTCGATTGTTTTGCACAATTCCCAGTCACATAGACTGGGGAGTGAACCAGCATGCTGCGATTTTGCGGGCTGGACGTCTCACAGTTAATGTGAGACGATGTAGACAATATGGAAGTGTTTTCCACATTTTTTGCGATCACAAATGGCTCCCTGTGCTGGCAGGAGTTGTCGTTTGATCGATTTCCACAACTACCAGTCGCATAGACTGGGGAGTGAACCGGCTTGCTGCTATATCGCAAGCTGGAAGTTTCGCGGCTGACGCGAGACGATTCCATAGATGTGGACGATTTTTCCGCATTTCTTGGAACTCCAAATGGCTCCCTGCACAAGCAGGAATGGTCATTTGGTTGTTCATGACAACTCCCAGTCGTATAGACTGGGGAGTGAACCAGATTGCTGCTATATTGCAATCTGGACGTCTCGCGGTTAATGCGAGACGATGCTGGAGATGTGGAAGATTTTCCCACATTTTTTGGAATCAAAAACGGCTCCCTGTGCCAGTGGGAGTGATCATTTGATGGTTTTGTGTAACTCCCAGTCAAATAGACTTGGGAGTGAACCGGCTTGCTGCAATCTTGCAAGCTGGATGTCATGCGGGTGACTCGAGACGATGTGGACAATTTTTCCACATTGCTTGGGGCCACAAACGGCCCCCTGCACCAGCAGGAGTTACTGCTGTTTTTGTCAGTGCTTGCACCAAGTGAGAGGTTCCCTGAGGATAGTGGGGCTCAGGGACTTCTTTTGGCATGTTTGACCCAGCCCTTAAGGCTGTTAGTGTGGCAGCACATGTGCACATGTTTGCCTCCTCACCCAGTGGTGAGAACTCTCTCTTTCTAGGAGAGATCATGTTGGCACATGGGGTGCTAAGGGTATTGTTCCCTGCATTTACCCCATGTAAGTTTTTGGGATCCTCAGGGTTTGTCCCTGAGGTCCTATGTTATAGGAATGGACCTAGAATCTTATGGTCCATGACTGAACATTCAAACATTTGGTCCCTCTACCATTATTTCATTGTCAAACCCCACGCCAAGCTTTCCCACTGGGTTTTGGTGCTGGCTGGGGGATTTGTTGATTTCCAAGGGACTTCCCTTGGCCATTACAACCTTTGTATTAGATAGATACAAGTCATATGACATGTATGGCAATTGCCGAGATGTTTTCTCATTATCGAATATATAACCCACAAACCTTGTACTGCAATTGTAACATCCTCACCATTGTGCCACCACTGTAAACTCAACCTGTAACCTCAGAACCATGTCCACTTCCCTATTCATCCTCTCCATGACAAAACCGCAACGAGGAGGGCATTCCCATGCCCAACCTCCACCAGGCCACCGGGTGGTTGAGCAGTCACTCCCATCCAACCAGAAGTTCCCTATCAGGAACTGTAGCCTATCCCACCTCCTTAGGAGAGGGATATGGTCCAGGCAGCTCCAGGATGCCTGGCCACGCACCCACGGGTCCCACTTCCCACGGTCACCCACTACCGTGCACTGGTCCACCAGCCCGCTTTCCCCAACAACTCCCACTACCGGTATGCTCCCGTGAGTGCCAAGTCACTGATAGCCACCAACTGGGTGACTCCCTTTGGGAGTCCCAGTATCCCACGCTACTGGTACGCTCTATTGAGCGCCAAGTCACCACTAGCCAACCACTCCTAGCACACCCGCTACCGGCATGCTCCTAGGAGCACCAAGTCCCCATTAGCAGACAGCCAGGTGGCTCCCTCAAGGAGCCCACATCATACTCGCTACTGGTACGCTCCCAGGAGCGCCAAGTTACCATTGGCCAACCCACAGGTTGTACTTCCAGACACTCATCCCATTCTGCTCTCCCTCCGATGGCTATGCAGCCACCTCCATTAGTGAGCCAAACGGTTCAGGTTGGGTTCCCCGGAACCCATTCCTGTAACATCCTACCAATATGTGGCAGGTCTTCGTCATCATCCGATGAGGCAGTGTTTAGGTTATCTCCCAAATTGGGAGATTGCAGCTTTTTAACAAAGCCACCCTTTGTTCTCACTGCAGATGCGAGCTTCCCCATTTGGGGGTATGATGGTGCCATGTTGTCGGGGCAATAGCCCCGAACCCCGAGCCACATGTAATTAGATACATATAGTCATGTGGGTAAGCAGGAACCTCCAGGTAACTGCTTACACACCACTGTAAAATACACATACTTGTATCACTTACGGCCTTGTGTGCTGAGCTACCCAAAGACCTCACACGTTTTTAAGTGTATGAGGTGTGTTTTACAACAAAACCCACAACAACTATCAACTCTTAACATCTGACTCGGTAGCGCCTATGGCGCCTAAACACGCCCACAAGGGCAAAGTTGCATCTGCAGTGACACTAAAAAGAAACGAGCGGTTCATTAAGAAACCGCAATCTCCCATCATGGGAGATTCAAACCGAAAGCCATCGTCAGATGACGACGAGGATCAACACGATCCAGCATTAGAAACCACCTCAGGGCTGGCCCCTGAAGGTTTTAGAAACTTATGTGGAGTAAGTGCAGGGCCTAATACCCCCAGAACTCCACAACATACTGATCTAACCCAAGCTGGGGAAGATCCCTTGCACGATAAACGCATAAGTGCCGAACGATCAGCCCAAAAAGCTGATCGGATAGAGTTGCAGGAAACTCCAGGGCCCAACTATCCCCTGGAGTCCCCCCTCACGTCCCCAACTCAAGCCCCAAAGGCAGACAAAGGGAAACAAAGGGAAGAGCCCCCGCATCGGCTATCCGAAAAACTACTGGACTTGTTCCAGGTTCCGTCCGAATGGAGGATGGAAAGCGAAGACCAACTTCTTCTCAGGCTTTCAGCCTGAGAAGGCGCAAAGATATGCCCTGAGAGCAGGATCTCCCAGAGTGCGGAAGCTCCAAAAGAACTTCCACTGTTTACACTCCCACACGCCATGCCAGACAAGGCAAGGTCGCCAACCTCGGAGGAGGTCTCCGAGATAATGAAGAGGAGGTGAACTGAAATGAGGGAGTTTGCTGAGGAAGCCTTACAGAAAAGTAAGGAAAAACTAGCAAACAGACCCCTCTATGAAAGGGAAGCACCCTCCGCAACGGCCTCACCTAAACAAAGCGAGCGTGGAGTGTTCACTCCAAGAACCCATTCTGGAACCCCCAGAAGCAGTAATGTCAACTGGGGAGAGTCCCTGCTCACCCAACCAAACTTCCTCCTGGAAAACCAGGAATCACGCATAATAAACACGATAAACTTGATCCAAAAAAAGATCAAGGAAATGAACCACAACAGTATGGCTCGTCTAGAGATAACTCTAGAAAGAATGGCCAACACAATCGACGCGTTGACTGAAAAAATCAGCGAACAGACAGACTTGCTGAAGGAAATAAATTTCTCACAAAAAAGTGAGGAAACAAATAAACACCCCTGGACCACGGTCCAGGACATAAATAGAACTTGTGAAAGGAAAAGAACCACCAGTGAAAGCACACTGGAATATCATCAGCGACTCGACCGAGACGCTAAGGAGATCCTTCTCCCAAGGATAGGAGAAGACGATGCCGAAAGAAGGCATCGTTCAGAGATTGGGAGGAGAATTGGCACGTACCAAAGGTTCAGCCAAACGTCCACTTACCTCAAACACACCCTCTCAAAACAATGAGAGAATCCAAATACAACTTCAGGCGAATTTGCCTGAACCCAGAGAAACGCTGCAAGGAAGATTTCCCCCAGCAAAAACCCCCCCAAAGGAGAGATCTCCATTGGATAGCAACCCCGCAAAGGCAGGGGAGCAAGAGGAGTACCTGGAGAGATGGTACGAAAAGGCCATAAGAATGGCCGATGTGAGAATACTCACTCCCTACCCAGAAGGAGTGAAGCCTGAAGCCCTAAAAAATGGGCTGGCATTCCCTGACAAGAAATGGTCAGGGGAGAACGACATGGAATCGTTCTGGCAGTGGTTCACAGAACTACTGGGATTCCTCGCCTCGTGAGGATGCAAAGGTCCCCAATTCAATGAAGTCCACCTGGACTGCTTGATTCATGGATTAGGGGGGCCTGCGTTCGACCTCGGAATAAGACTCTGAGACGAAACCCTCAGAGGAGATGAGGGCATGTTCCTCGAAGTTCTCAACATATTGATGAGAACTTTCATTAAAGCCTCTGCTGTGTTGAATGCGACAAAGAAGTACCACAATGTGAAATACGAAGCAGAAAAAGGCCTAAAACAGTTCTACCTAGAACTGTCCAAAGCAGCGTCCCAGATGGTGACACCACCAGACCAGGCATCCTTCAACGCCAGGTTCCTAAACTACATTCCCCTCGAATGGAAGAGGGAAATGATTGCTCATGATAGTATCAGAGCAGACTTCTCCTCAAATGAGGAGATGTTAAAAGCAATATCTCGTGTAGACAAGATAATCGATGGGCTGAAGATGTCTTCAGCCTACAAATCAGGTTACTATACCCGAACAACTACCATGGCAACCATGAGCCATGGTAGAGCCCTCCCATCAGGAAAGAAGGCTGAAGAGCTGAAACCCAGATGGAAAGAGGATACATCCTCGAAAAACTCGAGGAAAACTGACCAAAAGTCAGTTCCAATTTGCAGCAAATGTGGCAAAATAGGGCAAATGAAAG